TACTTTTTTTTTTTTTTTTTTCGTTCATAGAGTATTCACCGCTGATAGCAGTGACTAATTTTCTCGAGGGAGGCAGGATGAGATAGCTAGTCCCAAGATTTAACGGGACTGCATACACAATGCAGGATTCGAACCCCTGACTTTGCTTAAGCGTGAATCAACCTCTATCGCTCAATCACACGCTTGAAGTTTTCGAAAATGTACTTTTAAAAAGAAGAATCCATTTTTTATTTTAATTCTAAGATAGACAAACTATAAGTACTGATATGTGTGTGGTTATATACCCATGATAAATGCTACTATTTCTTAATCAATACACTTTAATTTATATATAGTAACTATTAATTAGAGCCTATCATGCTAACATTGTACCACATTTCAAAAATTGCAAAATGGAGTTCAATGTGTTGGTACTCTATCTCTTGTTCTTGTTTTATCTTCTGTTTTTGGGGTTTGTTTGACATAACCCGTATTAGGGTAGCACAAAATATTGGTAAAATTTAATGTTGTTGCCCCCACTGGTGAGGGTGCCCTAGTCAAACGTGTCAGAATGTGAGGCCAGTAGGAGGAGTCAGATGGATTTATGGTTGCATTAATTAATGATTCTAGGTTTGATGGCCATGAATGAGATTAATTTCAAGTATGTTGGTGACGGAGACTTTTTAACTAACGTGAGCTTGGATATTTATTTTTGGCTAACCATGATAAAACTGTGTAACAGGGTGAGGACGTTCTTGCTTGAAGGATTCTTCTGCCACACACACAACGCAGCTTGGCATACCGTACACAACATCATCTGTGGAACCGCATCTAAAATTGGTTCTTATTTGGACGCAGTGAGGGAAAACCCAAATTGTAAAGTGACCATTTTCCATGGCAAAAAAGATGAGGTGATCCCAGTTGAATGCAGCTATGAAGTTAAGAAAAGAATTCCACGTGCACAAGTAAGAGTTATTGACAACAAAGATCACATAACCATTGTGGTTGGAAGACAGAAAGCCTTTGCAAGAGAGCTTGAGGAGATTTGGAACACTACCAACAACTAGATATTATATGTTATATATCATATATCATATATATGATGTACGTCATGCCAATGCATTTACGTACGTCCAGCTAGCACTATTAGATTAAATTTATATATATATGTTCAAACTTTCTCATCTGCCAACTCAAGTGTTGTATCTTTTCTTGTAAGAAAAACATTGTCTATTTTACAGTACTAGTTTGGGTAATTGGACAACGTACCACCGGCTAAAGAGAGAAGAGAGAAGTGTAATAAAAAATTATATATATCAAATATTGGGACTTTATGTAGATCATGTATAAATGTTATTAATATAATATATTTTTATTTCAAAGTTGAGTTTTCAAAAAATAAAGGTTTAATATGTTAGCAGTAAGTCCTTAGACTTTAAAATATATATATTAATTAGTTCATAATTTTTTTTAAAAAAATTATAATTAAGTTATTTATCTTTCAAAATTATTGTAATTAATTTCCTAAAGTTAATTTAGGGGTTCGGTTATAAAAATTATAAATTAAAAGATCAAGACTTCCTTACATTTTTTTTTTAATTTAAAGATCTAACTAAATTTGTTAGAAAAGTTCAGACATCAACTGATATATTAAATAAAAAATAAATGATAAAATTATGATACTTAATTATGTTGATTTTTTTTATAAAAATAAATTCATCAGAGATCCGTTAGGGTTCCAACATATACTTGCTTATTAAAAAATAACTTACCGATGTTTTCAAGCTTTGGCCTTGGAATTGGGATGATTTCCTTATACAAGAGAAGCCTATAGAAAAAATTAAAATTAATATCCTTATTAATTAATTAATTATATATTTATTTTTAATGTCAATAATACAAATTTTTACTTCTGTGTTTTATATTTTGAAATGTGTAAACGTTGATTTGTAATGACAAAAATAGTTTTTAAATCTATAAGGTTACTTTTCGCGCACATAATTTTTATATAGTTTTATCATTTTAATAATTATTGAACTTCCAAATCACCTTCTCCCACTATGTTAAAGTGGTCACTTATTTATTATTTTTTACATGTTTATGTAAATCTTTAATTAACTATTTATTCTATTTTTATTTTTAAATTATCTTATTCTAATTTTTTTGATAGTTTTAACGATTTAATAACTATTGAACTTCCAAATCACCTTCTCCCACTATTTTAAAACGGTCATTTATTTATTATTATTTTACATGTCTCCGTAAATCTCTAATTAGCTACTTATTCTATTTTTTTATTTTTTTTTGCTTTTTATCTTTTTATAATAACATCGACACTATTGTTATTAAGCTCTTTGACGATCACTAGGTGTGGAACATGTTTAATGTTTGTTTGCATTAGCGTTCGTGATGTATGTTATCCTTCAAATGTAGGTCAAAAACAAAAAAAAAAAAAAATGACGCAAAAGCAAGTCTTGCATCTAGCGATAAATGTTACCAAACATCTTTCTCATTTAAAAAAAATGCCCTACAATCAAACATTTGGGTTCCTGTAGTTTTTTTTTTATATACTTTTTAATTAGAATCATTATTAAGAAAAAAAAATTAAAAAAAACTTATTTATAAGTTAAAATTAACTTATAAATGAGTTAAAAATAAAATTTGGAAGAAACTAATAGAAGAGATTTCTGCAAATTTATCCATATATAAATTAATTTTAGTTTATAATTTTTTTTACTAATTTTCTCTCTTAGAAATATTTTTTAGATAGATTTATCCAAACTTGATATTTTACTTTTGCTTCAAAATTTTGGTTGTTTAAGGATTTCAATGCGAAAGTATGCAATTTTTTTTTAATTATACTCTTACATATAGTCAAGTAATGATGAGAATAAGAACATGTTAATGAATTGGCTAATTACACCTATTAATAAGCAGTTGTATATTTTGGAGTGATAATTTATCATTAATATTTATAAAGGATTACTTATTAATTGTACATTAAATAGTAATGAACGTAATCAACATCATAAGTGTTATATATAATGGAATAAAGTAAATATCAAAACCAATTTAACACATGACTAAATATTTTTAATTTGTTCTTTATACAGCAAAATCAATGTAAATTAAGTAAAATTTTATGACTTTTATATATATATATATATATATATATATTGCCAAAATTGTAAAACACATTAGTCATGGTTTCAACATGATCATCCATGTATGTAAAAGTGACAAAATAAATTAACTCACTCTGATATCAACCCACTTAAAATAAGATAGGGTAAGTTGACCTACAAATAAAAAATATAGTTCATCTCATTTTAAAAGTGAATTGATGAGTTGACCTAACAAAAGATAAAAAGGTGAATTGATGAGATATAAAATAATGGTTAACTTTATTAAAATTAATTTGAAAAGATTAACATAAGAAATTTAAAAAATATATTAAAAAAATGCTAATATATTTATTTTTAACACATTACTCATTTTATTTTATAGATGTTATATATTATATTTTTATTTACATATAATAAATATTAGTAGGAAAGAGT